TTGTTTGTTTGTTCGTTTTAATTGTTTGTTTGTCTTTATTTATTTATTTATTTATTTATTTATTTATTTATTTATTTATTTATTTGTTTGTTTGTTTGTTTGTTTGTTTTTGTTTGTTTGAGTGTGCAGGGGTTGAGGTGTATGTGCAGATCGACAACTTCTCTCCACACCCCCTGACTGAAATCATTCTAGGCCTCTGGCGTGCTGTTGTAAGCTGCTGCTGCTGCTGCTGCTGTTGCTGCTGCTGCTGCTGCTGCTGTTATTGCTGCTGCTGCTCCTATTGCTGCTTCCGCTGCTGCAGTCTCTTAAATTAGACAAACACAATAATACACATAAATGCAGAAATGCTGCTGTTATTGCTGCTGCTGTTGTTGTCGTTGTTGTTGCCGCCTCTGTTGCTGCTGTTGCTGCTGCTGCAACTGCTGCTGCTGCTGCTGCTGCTGTTGCTGCTGTTGCTGCTGCTGTTGCTGCTGTTGGCTTTAACTGCATGCATAGGTGTGCAAATGCCTTCTTCTTTTTGTTTTTTCACAAATTACACTCCGCGTTTTGAAGGCCTTATTTATTTATTTATTTATTTATTTATTTATTTATTTATTTATTTATTTATTTATTTATTTGTTTAGACATTACAAAGCCCGGGGCTGCATGCATATGTTTCTCAAAGCCGTTTATTATATCAAAGTCTTCGCTCTGTCGCTGCCTGGGGTTTATTTAGACAAGAGACAGCCTTTCAGTGGAGTGTACGCATTCCGGTGTCTCTGCAAGTAAGCTTTATTATTTATTTATTTATTTGTTTGTTTTGTTTGTTTGTTTGTTTTTTTGTTTGTTTGTTTGTTTGTTTGTTTGTTTGTTCGTTTGTTCGTTTGTTTGTTTGCTTGTTTGTTTGTTTGTTTGTTTGTTTGTTAAAGCAAAGAATTAAGTGTATATAGACAGTAGATGCATCTCTATTCATATTTATGTATAAATATATATTAACAAACATATTTACATATAAATATAAATATATCTATATATACTTATTTATATATTTATACAGAAGTGTATATATGTATACATCTATATATAAATACATATATGTATATATAGACGCATAAGTATATAATATATATATAAATATATAAATATATAAATATATATATATATATATATATATAACAAAGTCTGTAATTATGCATGCATAGGCCTCCCTCAGGATATTAATTTGATTTATTGTTTGTGTGTGCGTGTGTGTGTGTGTTTGTTTGTTTGTTTGTTTGTTTGTTTGTTTGTTAATTAACTAAATAATAAATAAATAATAAATAAATAAATTTATTGTTTTATGAGGCAGCAAAGCATCAGAGGTAATTTATCGTCCGTTCAGTACGAAATTCGTCTTACAGCAGAATATAAGAAGGAGACAGTTAATATTAAAGCCCCTATACAAGTGCAGCAGCAGCAGCAGCAGCAGCAGCAGCAGTACATAAAGCATATCCAAAAACAAGCGAGCAAGCTACTGCAGCAAGAGCAAAAGCAACAGCAGCAGCAGCAGCAGCAACACCGGCAGCAGCATTATCATCGGCACCATCATTACAGACAACAACAACAGCAGCAGCAGAAACAACAACAACAGCAGCAGCAGCAGCAGCAGCCGCAGAGGGAAGGTAAAACCTTTCCTGTTAAAGCCTTTCAGGTAAGATCCTGTTCTCAAACATCTTCCTACGGCTTAGGGTTTAGGGTTTAGGGTTTAGGGTTTAGGGTTTAGGGTTTAGGGTTTAGGGTTTAGGGTTTAGGGTTTAAGGTTTAGGGTTTAGGGTTTAGGGTTTAGGGTTCGGACGCTGCAGCCCCGTACACCCCGCTATAGCAGCAGCAACTGCTGTCGAAGCATATTAGCAAATGAATATAAATATACATCTATATAATATATAATATATCTTTACCTTTGTTTAACTATATATATATACATATATATGTATATATATATTTATATGTATATATTTATATATTTATTTATATATATTTAATTATATATTATTTCTTTAGGTAGAAGGCGGCTTTACTACCTCAGCTAATTAATCTACATTATTATTATACACATATATAAACACATTATTTATTTATTTATTTATTTATTTATTTATTTATTTATTTATTATTTGTTTAGGTAGAGGGGGGCTTCAGTGCCTCAGCAAATTGTTTTGACTGGGCTGGGCTAACAAAGTTGAAGGAGACACTCGGAGTGCAGTAGCAGCAACAAGCAGCTGTCTCCTTTTGCTTGTTTATCTTTATCTTTTTATTTGTTTATCTTTATCTTTTTATTTGTTCATCTTCATCTTTTTATTTGTTTATGTTTATCTTTTATTTGTTTATGTTTATCTTTTTATTTGTTTTTTTATCTTTTTGTTTGTTATTTGCTGATTATGTTTGTTTGGTGCTGTCTGTCTCCTCTCTTCTTCTGTCTCCTTTCTCTTTAAGCAGCTAAAGCAACAGCAGCAGCAACAGCAGCAGCAGCAACAGCGGCAGCAGAAACGGCAGCAGCAGCACCAGCAATAGCAGCGCCAGCAGCAGCAGTTGCTGCAGCAGTTGCTGCAGCAGCACTAGCAGCCCCAGCAGCTGCAGCTGCAGCAGCAGCACCAGCAGCCGCAGCTGCATCATCAACAGCAACAGCAGCAGCAATAGCAGCAGCAACAGCAGCAGCAATAGCAGCAGCAACAGCAGCAGCAGCAGCAGCTGCTGCTGCTGAGGGTAATGGGCGGCCTTTGTTTTTTTTTGTCGAAGTTTTGTGTTTAGTTGTGAAGAAATTTATTTAATATTTGCTATCTCCTTTTTACTCTTTAAACAAATTCATACCCAAACTGCAAGCGATAGCAGCAGCAGCTGTTGCTGCTGCTGCTGCAGGTGGTGCTACTGCTGTTGCTGCTGATGCTGCTGATGCTGCTGTTGCTGCTGTTGCTGCTACTCCTACTGCTGCTTCTGCTGCTGCTGCTTCTGCTGCCTCTGCTGCTGCTAAATACGCGTTGGTTGTGCTTTGTTGCAGGAAGGTCGTAGGTAGCAGCAGCAACAGCAGCAACAGCAGCAACAGCAGCAGCAGCAGCAGCAGCAACAGCAGCAACAACAACGCTCCTGCTGCTGCTAGCTAACAGAGAACACGCTGCTGTCTCTCCTTCTGTCCCTCTTTGTCTGTCTCTCTTTGTCTGTCTCTTTGTTTGTGTATAGCGTATTGCAGCTAATAAATAAAACATAATAATAATAACAGCGCGGCCTCTCTCCATGTGTAATATATATAATATATTATATAATATATATTTTATTTTATATTTTATAATATATACTTTTTTAATGCATATTATTTATTATATAATATATATTAGCATCTACATATATATATATATATATATACATATATATATATATATAGATGTACAGCTATATACAGAAACACACACACATATATATATGCATATTATATATATAGTATAATATACATAAGATACAGCATATATATAATATATATTATATAATATATAATGCTGTTGCTGCTGCTGCAGCAGAATACAGATTTGCTGTTTCTTCTTCTGTCTCTTCTTCGTAGTTAGTACAGCGCAGTTATACAGATAGGGTTTTATTATATTATAATGTTTAATTTATATCTTCGTATGCTTTAAACCCTAAACCCTAAACCCTAAACCCTAAACCCTAAAAACTAAGTAAAGTAAACCCTAGAAGAACGTATAAACTCCTTTAATTGTATATTTTATTTGCTTTAAGAAGGCAGAAGATATACAGAAAATATATATTTTATTTTGCTGCTTTGAGTTAGACGCGGGGTACAGCTATCCATACACACTCGATATACGTGCTGCTGCTGCTGCTGTTGCTGCTGCTGCACAGGGCAGCGGGGCCCTGAAGTAAGCAGAAGCAGCAGCACAAGATAATAGCTTAGTTTTGTTTATATACAAATAAAGAATTAAAATAAATATACAATAATTATATACAGCTGTTATGTACAAACAAATAGGGTGTAGTCGGGTGTGTAAGCAACCGCGCTGCTCCAGTAAGCGTGCTGCTGCTCCTGCTGCTGTTGCTGCTGCTGCTGCTGCTGCTGCTGCAGGTGGCTCCTTATACACCCTAACTGAGAAGAATAGGCGCTTCATTTAAACATTATTTTATTTAAAAGAATAGAAACAAGAAAAGCCCCGAAAAAGAAACAAAAACAGGAGAAGGATTTTGCATGCAGCCAGGGCAGGCAGCAGCAGCGCATCGCGCGCAACAGCAGCAACAACAGCAGCAGCAGCAGCTGCTGCTGCTGCTGCGGCTGCTGCTGCGGCTGGAGGCCTTTGAGAGCTCGTACTATAACAAGAAAGGCTTGCTTATAAAGTATAAGAGAGGCTTTTGCTGCGAGATCTGCTTTCCTATGAATAAATAGAGCGGCTCTAAGAAAGAGATATTTCGCTGCTGCTGCTGCTGCTGCTTGTTAGAGCAGCTGCGTATACACCTCAGGGCTCTCAGCCCCGGAGGCTTTTATATAAGGGCCTCTTCTTTCTTTGTTTTTACCTTTCTTCAGCAGTTGAGCGGTATAACAAACTCACCGTCTCAGGCTTCTGCTGTTGTTGTTGCTGCTGCTGCTGCTGTTGCTGCTGCTGCTTTTCCTGAGCCTCCGGGCACGGCCTTATACAAAAGCTGCTGCTGCTGCTGCTGCTGCTGCTTCAATCAACAGGAGAGTTGTTTGCTGTTCTTTCTCCCTGCGGACTTCATCCCCTTTGCTTGCGGCTTCATCATCAGCGACAGCAACGCCAGCAGCAGCAGCAGCAGCAACAGCAACAGCAGCAGCAGCTTGCTTCCGGGGTGTTGGGGCGTGTCTGTTTATCTGCAGCTTGTTTTATAGGCTTAGGCCTCGCATGAGCACCTCTAATACTTTGCTCGTGTTTATTTGTTTATTTTATTTCTATAAGCTCATACGATTGCTGTATACGCGTCAGCAGCAGCAGCAGCAGCAGGAGGAGGAGTACTGGGCGGGATCGTGTGGGATCGTATCGGGATCGTGTGGGATCGGGATCGCCTCCGGTGCGCCTCGCCGGGGTCTTGTTTCTGCTGGTTGTGGGGTTAGCGTTTGCTTACAATTAATGAGTGCAGCGAGTCTGTAGGCTGCTGCAGCTGCTGCTGTTGTTGCTGCTGCTTCAAACAGCAGGAGTTTGCTGCTGCTGCTGCTGTCCGGAGGGCCCCACGAACGGCATGAAGGGGTGCAGTACGCGAAGCGGGTTGCTGCTGCTGCTGCTGCTGCTGGCGCTGCTGTGTGTGCTGCTTTGTGAGCTCGCGACAGCAAAAGAGACGGGGGGAAACAACACCACCACCAACAACAGCAGCAGCAGCAGCAGCAGCAGCAGCAACGGCGCCGCTAACCCCCAGGACGTGGGGTCTTATTCAATTAGAGATCTGTTCAACGGAGGCGTGCCGGAGGTTTCTTTAGACAAAGAGCGTACAACGAAGCAAGGAAAGAGCTGCAAGAGAAGTCATAGAGGGCTGCAGCGAGGGCAGCAGCAGCAGCAGCAGCAGCAGCAGGACTCACAGAAGCTGCAGGAGGAGGAGAAGCAGGTGCAGCAACAGCTTTTGCTGCTGCAGCAGCTGCAACAGCAGCTGCAGCAAAAGCTGCAGCAGCAGCAGCATCAACCGAGTACAGAGGCTTCAGTACAGCAGTTGCTGCAGCTGCAAGACGCTGACGCAGCAGAAGCTACAGCAAGTCAGTCAGGTGGTTCTGCTGGTGCTGCAGCAGCAGCAGAACCACCTGCAGCAGGAGCCTCAGGCGGGACATCAAAAGCAGCAGCAGCAGCAGCAGCAGCAAAAGTTGCAGAGAGTGGGGGTCTGCGAGGAAAGGGAGAGACAGCGTCAGGGGATGGAAAGGGTGCAACAGCAGAATCGAAAGCAGCAGCAGCAGCAGCAGCAGGAGCAGCAGCAGCAGCAGCAGCAGCAGGATTAGTACCCAAGCCGGGTTTGCTGCGACGTACAGCATATAGAATAAAGAATTCTCGCCTATTTGAGGAGCTTATATCTTTGCTGCATTACTTCGCGGGGCCGTTCTCAGGGCGTCCTACGAAGGTGCTGCTGCAGCAGAGCGATGCAGTAGGTGTGGGGTTAGGTTTGCTGCTGCTGTCTATGCGTGTGAAGACCCCTGCAGGACGGCTGCTGCTGTCAAAGCATGTATTATCAAATGCAGACGTCAAAGAGTTTATAGGTAGATTTGCGTATCTGGCTGACCCGTGTCGCAGCACAGACGATTTGCTGCAGCAGCTGCAGCAGCTGCGAAGTGCAGCAGCAAGATTAGCATTAGGAGGATATGGTGCACGACAGACATCAGAGTTCCTTGAGTTGTTAAGTTTCTTCCGGAAAGAATACTTCAGAGTACTAGGGTTTGCTGCTCTTTGTTTAAAGCATCTGCCTAGCAGCCTACCTGCGCTTTCTCTGTTCGTTAGCAGGCTGCTTATACCCTTACAAGATGCATTTAGAAGCATTGCGTCTGTCTCTGCTCGTTTTAAGGGTTTCTCTGCTGCTTTAGCGCAGCAGCAGCTGCTCAGCTGGGTGCGCTACTTAGCAGGGCTTGATGCTGCGCTGCTGCAGCTGCTGCCGGGGGGTAACCAGACGCTCTCTCGCATGCATGCAGCTTCAAGCTTTGATGCTTCTTTTGAGGAGACAGACAGCAGCTATGGCAGTCAGGAAGGAGATTTCGTTAGGCCTGCTCTGAGCAGTCATCTGTAATCTTCTCATCCTTATTCTTATCCTGCTGCTGCTGCTGCTGCTGCTCCTGCTCCTGCTCCTGCATGGTTTGCAGCAGCAGCTGTAGCAGCAGCAGCAGTAGCAGCAACAGGCATCTCAGCAGCAGCAGCAGCAGCATGAGAGCAGCAGCAGCAGGAAGAGGAGGAGCAGGAGCAGCAGCAACAGCAGCACCTGCAGCTGTAGCAGCAGCAGCGGCAGGAAACACCACCTCTACTGCAGCAGCAAACCCCAGCAGCATCAGCTGGTGCAGCGCCGCCTGTAAAGTTAACGCAGACAAGGCCAGCAGCAGCAGCGGTGATTCTGCTGCTGCTGCTTCAGCAGGTGTTCCTGGTGTTGCAGCAGGTGCTGTTGATGTTGCTGCAGCAGGTGCTGTTGATGCTGCGGCAGCAGATCCCGTTGATGCTACTGCAGCAGGTCTTGCTGATGCTGCTGCAGCAGATGGTGGTGCAGGTGCTGTTGATGCTGCTGCATCAGGTGCTGTTGATGCTGCTGCAGCAGGTGCTGCCGGTGCAGGAGGTGCTGCTGCTGTTGCAGCAGCAGGTCCAGCAGCAGGAGCAGCCGCAGAGACAGCACAGCAGCAGGTGCAGCAGCAACTGCTTATTACGTGAAGCAAATGCAGCAACGCCTCTTTTCCGCTTCTGAAGAACTTTCGTTTCTCTCTAAATGTTTATGGACGTGCGGCAACTGCAGCAGCAGCGGCAGCAGCAGCAGCAGCTGCTGCTGCTGCTGCAGCAGCAGCAATTGCAGCGGAAGGGACCCCTGCTGCAGCAGATGCTGCTGCTGCAGCAGATGCAACGGCGGATGCGGCAAACGCTGACAGCGCCGTCCCCACCCCCGCGTACTCTCCAAGCAAACAACAGCAAACACCCCGCAGCAACAGCAGCAGCAGCAGCAACAGCAGCAGCAGCAGCAGCAGCAGCAGCATTTGAGGCTTCTGATATGTATATGCTGTCCCTTGTGCCCCAGGTATTCAAATTAAGGCACCCCAGTCATTCAGAGTTGGCCACTGCAGCAGCAGCAGCAGGAGCTGCCGCTGCTGCTTCTGCTGCTGCTGCAGCTGCTGTGGCTGCTGCTGCGGCTGCTGCTGCGGCAGTTGCTTTAAAGGACTTGCTGTTGTTTATTGAAGAGTAGTTTTTTGCTGTATGTTTTCTTTGCTATCATTTGCTAGCAATATAATTTGTGCTCCTACTAGTGAGAGATACACCGACACCCATGCTGCTGCTGCTGCTGCTGTTGCTGCTGCTGCTGCTGCTGCTGCTGCTGGTGTCGCTGCTTCTTCTGTTGCTGCTACTGCTGCTGCTGCTTTTGTTGTTGCTGTTGCTACTGCTTCTGCTGCTGCTGCTGCTGCTGTTGCTGC